CTCTCTAGGGGAATCGGGGGGCAAATCTACAACTAAAGGACACAGGGAGCACTGAAGGGAGGGAAGGGCATGCCTTTAACCCGCACTTGGGTGAGGCAAAGACGTAAAGTGTAACGATAATGTTTGTACCCTCACAATACCCTGGAATAATTAAAAAAAAAAAAAAGTAAAGAATTATTACCTCTGCAAGAAGACCGTTTATAATATTGATGTAACCCCTATTATTAACCAGGAAAGTTTTAGCAGTTATTTTCCTGGGCATGATCTGGAAAATATCTTGTCACCTTTAAGATAATTTTCTTTACGTGGTCAAAATAGAGGGGTTGTTTCTTACACACAAATGACCTTACACAAATGCTTGCAGAAGAGTTTTGTCTTTCCCCTTAAAGATGACTATGTCAATGCTTATTGAAGAAAACCAACATATTCAAAAATAAAAGTATAATTATTTTACTTTTTCTTATAGATACCTTTTTACATATTAGCTTGTGTGGATATATGTAGTTAATACATTCAGGTTTACAAGAAAATCTCAGTGCAGCCTGTGAAACAAGCATATGAGGTCCCCGGTAGCAGGTACTGGGTTTCGGGTGAATTTACAATTTTTCTTTAATGTATTGTTCAGAGGGCATTAATAGCCACATCGTGTCAGTATACTGTCACTGTAATCAGGTTGAAATGGCTGCTCATTACTGTGGAAGACAGTGGATTTTTACTAATAAAATGACCAATTCTTTTCTTTCCCTCCAACCATTCAATTTTATGGCATTTAGTATTCTATCCAATTAAAGTACACAAATACATTCATATGAATAGGTAGATAGGTAAATAGATGATAGATGGACAGAGAGATAGTTTTATACTTCATAAAAGAATTTCTTCCTAGGTAATGCATACATTAGCTACCATCAGGAAATCTAGTTAGAATCTCTATTCGTTTGCCTATAAGAAATCAATTTATCATTTTCAAAGTTGTATGTTGTGGTAAGTAATTATAAAATGATACTGAAGTTCAGCATTTACAACCATTCTCCTTTCTTAAAGTGCTATCAAATTAATGTTAAATCATAAAGGAAAAAAGGGCAAGTGCTTTATGAGTTATCACTAACTCTTAGAAAAAAGAAAAACATCTGATATTTCTAGTGCAGTCATGAATTCCCTAATGTTTTACGTATCAAACAGATGATGGTGCACTTCCTTGAGAGGTATGCTAATAAACATGTGATAATGTTTAAGGGAAGGTTAGTTTTGATCAAAGAATATTTTTCTTTATTTCAAATTTCAAGTTTTCTACAGGGTCCCTTTTTCTTGTTATTGACTTAGAAACTGATATTTTTGTACACTTGTACACTTTTATGAGCTTTCCATATATATGAATAATTCATGAATTTGCCCTCTGATTACATTGATATATGTGTATAAATGAACTGTTTAGAAACTGTGATGTCTAATTTGAAATTAGCAAGGGATATGTTAAGTAACTTAAATGTATGAATAAAAATGAATTAGTTCATGTGACTTGACTTGTAAGAAGGTACTCTGCAGCCAATCTATTTATATTACTACATTTTATTAGCCAAGGTTCTCCCAAGAGACAGAATAAATAAGATATATTATTAATATATACAGAGAGAC